GCTGGATAAGACTCTTCAGAGTCCCTTGGACAGCAAGGACATCAAACCAATCAATCTTAAAGGAAATCAGTCCTGAATATTCATTGGAAGGACTGATTCTGAAACTCCAATAGTTTGGCCACCTGATCCCAAGAGCTCACTCATTGGAAAAGACCCTGGTGCTGGGAAAGATTGAGGGCAAGAGGAGAAGGGGGCAACAGAGGATGTAATGGTTAGATGGCATCACTGACTCAATGGACATGATTTTGAGCAAACTCTGGGAGGTGGTGAAGGAAAGGGAAGCCTAGCGTGCTGCAGTCCATGAGGTCTCAAAGAGTGGGACATGACTTAGTGAATGAACAACAACATCAAAAATAAAAGCTTGTTTCCTTTAAAGGACACTCACTATCAAGCGAGTAAAAAGACAACTCAGAATGGGAGAAGATATTTGCAGATTGTTTATCTGATAAGAGATGAATGTAGAGAATACAAAAAGAACTCCTACAACTCAGCAACGAAAAAGCAAGTCAAATCAAAAATGGGAAGAAGACTGGAATAAATATTTCTCCAAAGAAGATACGCAGATGTCCAGTAAGCACATGAAGCATGCTTAACATGACTAGGCATTAGGGAAATGTAAATCAAAATCACAACAGAGAGACTTCCCTGGTGGTCTAGTGGTTAAGAATCTGGCTGCCAATGCAGGTGACACAGGTTCAATCCCTGGTCCAGAAAGATCCCATGTGCCATGGGACAGCTAAGCCTTTGCCCCACAAATACTGAGCCAGTGCCCTGAGCCCGTGTTTGCAGCCTGGAGCTCATGCTCCACAACAAGAGAAGCCCACATAGCACAGCTAGAGAGGAACCCCCACCTGCTGCAACTAGAGAAAGTCTGAGCACAGGAACAAGACCAGCACAGTCTGCTCCCCCCCCACCAAAAAAAATTCACACGAGATACCCTTTTACACCCATTTTGTTGGCTATTACCCACACAGAAAAAGAAAGTAAAGAACAAGTGTTACATTAACAAATTGAGAGAGAAAAACCATATGATTATCAATAGATGCATAACAAATTGAGAGATAAAAACCATATGATTATCAATAGATGCAGAGAAAGCCTTTGACAAAATTCAGCATACATTTATGATTAAAAACCCTCCAAAAGCAGGTGTAGAAGGAACATACCTCAACATAGTAGAAGCCATATATGATAAACCCAGAGCAAACATTATCCTCAATGGTGTAAAATTGAAAGCATTTCCCCTAAAATCAGGAACAAGAGATGCCCACTCTCACCACTACTATTCAACATAGTTTTGGAAGTTTTAGCCACAGCAATCAGAGAAGAAAAAAATAAAAGGAATCCAGATTGAAAAAGAAGTAAAACTTTCACTGTTTGCAGATGACATGATCCTCTACATAGAAAACCGTAAAGATTCCACCAGAAAATTACTAGAGCTAATCAATGATTATAGTAAAGTTGCATAATATAAAATTAACACACAGAAATCCCTTGCATTCCTGTACACTAACAATGAGAGAACAGAAAGAAATTAAGGAAACAATCCCATTCACCATTGCAACAAAAAGAATAAAATACTTAGGAATATATCTACCTAAAGAAACAAAAGACCTGTATATAGAAAACTATAAAACACTGATGAAAGAAATCAAAGAGGACACAAACAGATGGAGAAATATACCGTGTTCATGGATTGGAAGAATCAATATTGTCAATAAAAGAATGAAACTAGAACACTTTCTGACACCATACACAAAAATAAACTCAAAATGGATTAAAGATCTAAAGGTAAGACCAGAAACTATAAAACTCCTAGAGGAAAACATAGGCAAAACACTCTCTGATGTAGTTAATAGCAGGATCCTCTGTGACCCACCTCCCAGAGTAATGGAAATAAATGCAAAAATAAACAGATGGGATGTAATTAAACTTAAAAGCTTTTGAACAATGAAGGAGACTATAAGCAAGGTGAAAAGACAGCCTTCAGAATGGGAGAACATAATAACAAATGAAGCAACTGACAAAGAATTAATCTCAAAAATATACAAGCAACTCCTGCAGCTCAATTCCAGAAAAATCAACAGCCCAATCAAAAAACTGGGACAAAGAACTAAACAGACATTTCTCCAAAGAAGACATACAGATGGCAAAAAAAACACATGAAAAGATGCTCAACATCACTCATTATTAGAGAAATGCAAATCAAAACCACAATGAGGTACCATTTCATGCTAGTCAGAATGGCTGCTATCAAAAAGTCTACAAACAATAAATGCTGGAGAGAGTGTGTCGAAAAAGGAACTCTCTTAGACTGTGGCCACTGGGAATGCAAACTGCTACTGCCACTATGGAGAACAGTGTGGAGATTCCTTAAAAAACGAAATAGAACTGCCATATGACCCAGCAATCCCACTGCTGGGCATATACACCGAGGAAACCAGATCTGAAAGAGACACATGTACCCCAGTGTTCATCGCAGCACTGTTTACAATAGCCAGGACATGGAAGCAACCTAGATGTCCATCGGCAGATGAATGGATAAGAAAGTTGTGGTACATACACACAATGGAATATTATTCAGCTATTAAAAAGAATGCATTTGAATCAGTTCTAATGAGGTGGATGAAACTGGTGCCTATTATATAGAGCAAAGAAAGTCAGAAAGAAAAACACCAATACAGTATATTAATGCATATATATAGATTTTAGAAAGATGGTAACGATTACCCTGTATGTGAGATAGCAAAAGAGACAGATGTAAAGAACAGACTTTTGGACTCTGTGGGAGAAGGCGAGGGTGGGAGGATTTGAGAGAATAGCATTGAAACATGTATATTATCATACGTGAAACAGATCGCCGATCCAGGTTCGATGCATGAGACAGGGTGCTCAGGGCTGCTGCACTGGGATGACCCTGAGGGATGGGATGGGGAGGGAGCGGAGAGGGGGGTTCAGGATGCGGAACACATGTACAGCCATGGCTGATTCATGTGAATGTATGGCAAAACCACCACAATATTGTAAAGTAATTAGCCTCCAATTAAATAAATTAAAAAAATAATAATAATAGAAAAGAACAAGTATTGGTGAGGATATAGAGAAATTAGAATGCTGTGCATTGCTGGTGGAAATGTAAAATGGTGCAGATACTATAGAAAACTATTTGGTGTTTCCTCAAAAACTTTTAACTGGGGACCCTCATGTCCAGTAGTTCAAACTCCCATTTCTGCAGCAGAGGGCACAGGCTTGATCCCTAGTAGGGGAAGATCCTGCACATGCTGGCTGGTGAGGAAAAAAAGTAACAGAGGCAAGGCTGAATTGACATCACACTTTTCAACAGCAGCATAGACAGTGGGAAGACAATAGAGTTATATATTTTGACTAATAGAATATTGACAGAAAATAGCTTTGAACCTAGAATTTTATATCCAGCCAACTGTCATTCAAGTATAAAACTTGATTAAAATATTCTCAAACATAGAAAGTTACATATTAACATAAAGTACCACATGGGAAACATTTCTTGAGGAAAAACTCAAATGAGTAGAGAAATCTAGCATATGCTGCTAGGTGTGTGTAATGTCCCTGTGTAAGACATGTAAAGAGTGACTGAATACCAAAGTAAAGATTGTTTAAAAAAAAAAAAAAATTAGCCACAACCAAAGAAAAGAAATAGAGGAGTTGTATCCATGAAATCAGTTGAGGGTTGGGTGGAGTCAAGATCAGAGCATGGTGTTCTGTCTTGATGAAGGGATGGCAGTTTATCAAATAGAAAGATGTCACAATAGAAAGTGCAAGGAAAGCAGTGGACAAATTGTAAGTCATCAAGTCATCAATTAAAAAGCAGAAACTGATGATTCAATAAAAAAGCTAACTACATTTTTTTTTATAGGAAACAGTCTTAAATAATTTAAAGCTATATAAGAGAGGGACATGGATAGGACATATATAAAAATTGAGGATATGTGGGTTATATTTGTGGTTAGTTACCATATTAGAGATTACAGCTGAAAAATTGTGGACTGATCTGGTCCACAGTGGACCAGTGGTTAAGACTTGACCAGTGGTTAAGACTCCATGCTTCCAGTGTAGGGGGCACAGGTTCCATCCCTGGTTGGGGAACTATGATCCCACATGCCACATGGTACAGCCAAAAATAAAAAACTTTACTGATTAATTTAAAAATAGCAATATATACCTTTTGAAGGTTAACAGAAGTAACATTTTATGAAGAGTCTTACTGAACAACATAGGAATTTAGTGAGAAGAGTTTTTGCAGATTTCTTTAATGCCTGATGTATATAGACTGTACTGAGAGTCTCTTACCTGCTATTATAACACACTCTGTTGCAATATGCTCTGATTGAGGGTACCTGAGGAGAATCCTGGGACCGTGTGGATCTTCTGTGTGGGGCCCCTCAGAGGTCCTGAGATCATAGTTGACAACCTGCCTTTTCCAGGCAAGTTTCTTCATCACCATGACTGCCTCCAGTTTGATGTCGTCTTGTTGATCTCAGAGGTTTCCTGCTGTCTGTATTCCCTCCCCCTTTCCATTTCTGCTTTTGTTATTTCCCACCCTATATTCAAGTCCAGTTTGAGGCTGATCTTCCTATCTTCACTGACAGTTCCTCAGTGACTCTTCTTTTTGGCAAAACAGTTTCACATAGTTGGTGCAAAGTGTTCTAAGTTTTCTTGTTTACTCTTTCCAGCTATATTATAAAGCTCCTTTAAAATAGGGACCCTAAAAATTGAAAAGATAAAACGAGTTGCTCCTTACATGAAGTGCTAGGCAGAAAGTAATACTTGTTGGTTGATAGGTAGTAGCACTGCCCAGGAAAGCAAATAATAGATCACAACTCTTTTTTGGTCTTAAATGGCTTATTGGAAAACCATAGTGTCTTCCCCATTACCTGCTACATGGTTATGCTTTTGGTGTTGCAATTAATATTTCTTTAAGAGCTCTTGTGTGATTAAAACTATCCTCAGTTCAGGCTTGTTGATCTTATAAGCCACTCACTGATTTATTTTCTTGCCATTTCAGAAAAAAGCCAAAGGACAAGAGCTATTTGATCAGATTATGTACCACTTGGACCTTATTGAAAGCGACTATTTTGGACTGAGATTTATGGATTCAGCACAGGTAGCGGTGAGTATCTGGTTTTTGGAGGCTCTAAAATGGGTACAGAAATGGAAAATGTCAGATGGTGTTCTCAGTGATAGAAGGTTACATATACTTAAATGTCTTCTTTTTTCCTGTAATCTTCTTGGAATAACCTAAAGTGCTTATTTTTTTTTTTGAAAAGTTCTAGCCCTAAACTGTGTTCCCAGAGCATGATCTCTGCAGATGAGGCTTGGAGATCTCAACCACTGAGCAGAGTAGAGTGACTGCTGTGGGAGGGGAGGGTGCTGGAATGGGAATTTTTTGGGCTCTTGGGTGAATGATAGAAGTTCCTAGTGTGCAATTAGGGTGAATATTGGACTAAAATATTTCTAATATCCCTTCCAGCTCTGTGATTCTCTGTCTGTAAATAGATGCTCTTTGATGTGCATTTCAGGTTAGAGAACAGTATATAATAGGATAGGAAGTTGGGGGCTTTTCAAAGAATTTGCCCAGTATTTGAAAAAGAGTAGTGATTAGAAGATGGATCAGTGGCCACATCATCCACACTGAGCTGCAGAAGTATTAATAATAAGTTGGCAGTATTCTCTAATAATTGGGATTAGGGATTTTTCATTCAGGGAGGTTATGTTTTGCTTTAGGAAGTTTTACATAGGAATATTGTGTAGGATTGTTTGGAGTGGACAGAGATGGAAGTCAGAGTTAGTGCAAACATTTTGGGGATAAAAGTGATACTAGGGTCTAGAGTAGGGCATTCACAGGGGTGTGGGGGCAGAAGAGGGTTAGGATATCAGGACGTTGAATCTTGTTTTCTGGACGTCTGTGATGGTGTTTTTGTGTTTAGTGACACAGTAACTGCAGTATTTAGAACCACAGGAACAATATATATTCTGTAAGAATCTCAAAGTCCTTTCCGGAGAAGGAAATGGCAACCCACTCCAGTACTCTTGTCTGGAAAATCCCACGGATGGAGGAGCCTGGTGGGCTGCCGTTTATGGGGTCGCACAGAGTCGGACACGACTGAAGCAACTTAGCAGCAGCAGCAGCAGCGAATTCCTTTTGAGTGGGTTTGTGTGTGTGTGTATGTGTGTGAGGGGATGATATGGTGTGATGGATAAATTAACTGGAATACCTCTGTGAGATACTTTACAAAACCCACATTTCTTGGAGATGAACTTCAATTCAAGACTGATTTTATAGAACATCTTCAGTAAATGTACAGCTCTTAATAATGTCAGCCTCACTTGTTTTCTCTGATTTCCCTGTACCTCAATTTAAAAAAAGCATGAGCATTTATTTGCAGGGAATTGGTTAGGTAAATTTTGATACATCTTTACAGTGGAATATCTGCAGCTCATTAAAAATGGTGATTTTTAAGTACTAATTGACATGAATGATGTAAACATTAAAAGGATTTATAAAATAACTTACAGTAAAGCCCACTAGGCTCCTCTCTCCATAGAATTCTCAAGGTAAGAATACTGGAGTGGGTAGCCATTCCCTTCTCCAGGGGATCTTCCCAACCTAGCGATCGAACCTGTGTTTCCTGCATTGCAGGTGGACTCTACCGCTTGAGCCACCAGGAAGCATATAAAATAACTGAATTTTTCTATTTTTAAGAAATTCTGGGTTTATGTTCACACATAAACATGAAAAAATTTGAAAAGCTATTTTCTCTAGTTTGAGTTCTGATCTTTGGATGGATGTTGTATAAGAGGCATTTCTCTTATTTCTTCTTGTTAATCTTATTTCTTTTCTATTAGACGAAATCCACTAAGGGTAGGAAATAAATCTTAGTTACCTCTGTTATTCAGTATGTATTAAGTAATAAACTAGACTGTTTATTGAATTTAATTCTGGTCTGCTACTTAGTTTGATACAGGCTTGGTTGACTGTTGAGTTTAATATCATTAAACTCTCATCTCTAGAGTTTAAGTCTTACATTCAGATGAAACAGCAAATGATTCTGGGGGTAGATAGTTTGTACAGCTTCCTGTTTTTTTGAGGAGTCAATATTAGGTTTTAGGTACTTTCTTTTCATTTCTTAACATATTTAAGTAATTATGGGAAGAGACAGACATGCAACTGTTCCTGAATTGCATTATTTGTTCTTTACTAATATCAGCACTTACTGAGTTACTAGATCCTGTCTTTTTTCCTCTCATTTGATTCACATGGTTATAACAAGCATCTGGTAAAGCCAGCATTAGGACTTGTAATCCCTACTCTTTTTAGTTTTAGTTTATGCCTCCCAATGCACAGAAATCTAGGCATTAAGATTAAGTTTATTTTACTTTTATTTTTTTAAGATTGAATTTAAATAGGCGTACGTTTTCCAGTCTCTCCTCTGGCCGTCACTCAAATACTTTTTGAATTAAACTGTAAGAACAATAATTGGGAAATTAAAGCTATTAAAAATCAGCTCTTGGTAACACTTTAAATATTCTTAAAGTGTTGACTCACTTGATTCCATAATGGTCTTAGGACATAAGTAACCATAGAGATAGATGAGTGTCAGTTGTTTATAGTGTGGCCAGATTTAACCCCAAAAGTAAACAAAATTGATACTTGACAAACAATTCAGTTTGTCAGTGAAGATAACGAACTTGGTAGATCATGTGGCTTTTTTGGTGAGGATCATCTGTTTAAACTAAGTTAACCCATGGTTTCCATAACTATTTATCATACTTACTTTGTTGACATAACTATGAAATCTAAAGGGAGTGAGACAGGGTGAAAAAGAGCCAAGGAATTACATGTTACAGTTTAACCTTGGATATGTGGCCTGTCCATATTTGTTAAATTAGTGTATTAAAATTTAGTTTATTGATCATTTTAAATCAGTTCAATATATGTATGATTAGAATTATGCATTCATCAAGGAGATAGTCAAAGTAAATTGATGAGGTCATAATTCACTTCTTATGTAATCAGATAATCTGAGTTTGCTGTTTTTTAAGTTACTTACTTTTGGTTGCACTAACTCATTTTAGTTGAAACTATAGTGCATTTATAGAAAAGTTGCAAGAACAATATAAGTAATTATTTTTCTGGAATCATTTGAGAGAGAGTTGCAAGTATGATGTCTCATTTCCCTTGAATTTCCTACAGACAAGCATGTTCTCCTGCACAACTCAATATAGTCATCAAAGCCAGGAAGTTATTGTGACATTACCACTATCTAATCTTCAGACCCCATTCAAATTATGCCTTAAGAGTGTCATTTATAGCCGGAGGTTCACTGTTTACCAGTTGCTCCCCATTCCTCCTCCCCATAGCTCCTGGCAAATGCTAATCTTTCTGTTTTTGTGGATTTGCCCATTTTGAGACTTTCATAGAAGTGGAATCAGGTAATTTGTGGCCTTTGAGTCTGAAAATGCACTTGGCATAATGTTTTCAAGGTTCATCCATATTGTAGCATATATCAGTACTTGATTCTTAACAGCTGAATAATATTCCACTGTGTGGATATACAACATTTTTATTCATTCACTGATACACCTTTAAGTTTATTCGTTTTTGTCTGTTAAAAACAACACTGCTGTGAACATTTGCACACAAGTTTTTGCACTCAGCATAACTCTTCAGTTCTTTTGGGTGTGCATCTAGGAGTGGAACTGCTGGATTACAAGGCAACTTCACATACAAGTCTTTGAGGGACCGCTAAGCTGTTTTCCTCAGTGACTGCGCCATTCTACATTCCATCAGCGGTGTATAAGGCTTGTGATTTCTACATGTCCTCACCAACATGACATTCTCCCTTCTTTTTTTTTAAAGTTCCTTTTTTTTCTTTTTTCAAAAAAATGATTTATTTGGCGGTGTTGGGTCTCAGTTACATCGTGTGCTGCAGGGACTGTCTACTTGGGGTATGTGGGCTCCAGAGCTGCTGTGTAGCTTGTGAGAGCCTGGTTCCTTGACCAGAGACGGAACCTGCATCCCTTGCACTGCGGCAGACTCTTAATCAGTGAACCACCAGTCAGGTCCCTCCCCTTCTTTTTGATTCTGATCATACCATCTGATATGAAGTGGTCTTATTGTAGTACTGATTTTGCATTTCTCTGATAGAGAAGATATGTGAGCATCTGTTCATGTACTTATTGATCATTTGTATATCTTTTTTGGTAAATGTCTGTTCAGATTTTTTATCCACTTGAAATTCGGTCATTTCCTTCTTACTGAGTTGTAAGGGTTAACTATTACCTAGTCTGCAGTCACAACCATTTATATATTTTCTTCTGTATCCATTTGGAGTTAATTTTGGTATAAGCTCTAAAGTAGGGGATCAGACTTCATTCCTTTGCATGTGAATGCATGTGTATATCCAGTGATCCTAGAACCACTTGTTGAAAGGGTGGTTCTTTCCCCATTGAATGGTCTTGGCACACTTACTGAAAGTCAGTTGAGCATAGATATTTGGGTTTTTCCTGGGTTCTGAGTTCTGTTACTTTCATCTATATATTGATTCTTAGGCCAGCACCACATTGTCGTCACGTGGTGAAGTAAGTTTCAAACTTACTTAATTTGTAGTAAGTTTGAAAATTGGGAAATGTGAGTCCTTCAATTTCATTCTTCTCTTTTAAGATTGTTTTGGCTGTTCTGGGTCACTCATACTTCCATATACATTTTGGATCAACTTGTCTATTTTTGCAAAGAGGGCAGTTGGGAGTTTTGATGAAGAATTGCCCTGAATCTGTATATCTGTTTGGGAAGTATTGTCATCTTAACAACATTAAGTCTTACATATGAATTATGTTTTTATATTTCTTAAAGCAATGTTTTATAGTTTGTTTACACGTCTTTCATCTCCTTGGTTAAACTTACTCATAAACATTTTATTCCTTTGATGTTATTGTAATATGTAATTTTCTTAATATTTTTAAATTTAGTTTGGATTCTAGTATATAGAATTCATTTTTGTGTACGTTTCTTACTGAAACGTACTTACTGAACTTGTTTATTAGTTTTTTTGTGTTTTATGTATAAGATCGTGTCCTCTACAAAAAAAGGATAGTTTTAACTTCTTCCTT